CACACCAGTTTGACCATGAATAACGTCGGGTGACCAGTCTGGCTTTCTTTTTTTTTCACATTGGACTCCACAGAGAAGAAATCCCATGCATACTGCCTGTTTAAATGTTCACTACGTCAGAACTTATTCACCAAATGTGTTTCCATCTCTGCTTTTGTGCATTAAACCTTACAGGATGGGGAAAATTGGTCTTGGCAGAGGTTTGCACTCTCCGAGTGCTTTTAGTTTTTGTTTTGTTTTGTTTTTCTGAGCACTGCATTGGTTTTTGTTGGCAGAGTTCAGATTTGAATATGTTAAAATCTAGTTTCTCATTCAGTAACCCATTCAAAATATGACAGTTTGACTAAAATGTTTTGGTGCAAAGATTTAAAAGCATTAACATACAAATGACAAAATGTTAAAGTGTGTTCGTTCTTTAATAAAAGCTGTCAGATCCTGCTGGGAGTCACTGACTTTAAAACCTCTGAGCTTTCAAAACAAAAACTAATGAGGCAGAGATTTAATTTTAACACACTGCTCACAGAATTTAGCTGTTTTGTAGTTTAGATGTAACTAAAACATCATGAAGGTTTTTTGATTGAATTTTGCTTTGCTTTTTTCTTAAATATATATTTCCTACCATTGCTGCTTAAATCAACTATTTAAAATTAAATAAAGAGCTCAGCAAAGTTTAATAAATTATTTAATCATTAGCTGTTTGAGTTTCTGTGTTAGATTTTTGTAAAGATTAAACTCAAACTGATGATTTATTGAAAAACCCGCTCACCTTTTAAAGAATGAAGAAGAATAAAAAGTGCATTATTTTTCATGCATATGTTCTAATAATCTGTGTATCTTGTGGCTTTAGGAGCTCATCCAGTACCTGCGCTCCCACTCTCACAGTGCAGTTTATGCCACTTCCATGTCTCCTCCTGTGGTGGAGCAAATCATCACTTCTATGAAGTGCATTATGGGGGAAGATGGAACGACAATAGGTAAGCTTAGATAATAAATAATAAACAGAGAAATTGCACAGTGAATGCTCAATGCTGAAAGATGATTTACTGAAAGCTGCTGAAGAGGTTTAATTTGAATTTTTTTTGAATATTATTTATTTAATCAGGACGTTGTGCAATTAAAACATAAACATAAAAACATTTGATGCATTGCACCAGATTTTGCCTAAGGCTAATTTACATCTGTAGTCCCTCCAGACAGTAAAAACAAAACAACATTCAACAGTAATAGAAATAAGAAAAGAAAATAACAGAAAGAGAAAAATGAAATAAAACATTTTTCAATTAATAATAAAAATACATAAACGCCCCACTCTCCAAACACATAATTAAAAAGTTATATCACTGAACATCCAATAAAAAATGTGTGATTGCATTGTTAAGTTGATTTGAGATATTCCCCATGATCACCCCAGATACCAACCAAAGAACTGCAGGTCTCCACACCGATCCAGTGACAGGGCAATCACACATCTGCATTTCTACCAGACAACAAACAAACATCACCGATAGGCAATAAAAACTTCCAAAATAAATACATACATACATACATACATACATACATACATACATA